CCTTTCTATCATAGTCATCCATCCTTTCATTTATGTCTACCTTTGTTTTTCTATTATATCCTAGAACTACAGTTTAGCAATCATATGTATTTGTATGGGAGCTACACTTTAAATTGCAGACATGCACTTACATACAGATATATGCACACTTTTACACACACACCCCGCTTTGTAAACTGTTAACCAGGAAGCATTCCCTTTTAGCATACGTGTGTATTTGGGAGACAGAAACAGAAAATCAAAGTGACAGTTAAAAAGAAAGAACCCTCTGGTTACTTTTGAAAAATTTCAGGGAACCATTTGAATCTGAAAACAGGTAAATAAGAGGATATCTAGCATTTATTTTACCTTTTCTGTATAAACCACCACATGAAAACCAAAGTTAGTATGAGAAAATTCTTTGTAGAAGCCCAACTAGTAAGTGAAGAAGAAATGATAACATTGGAACAATGTTACTTTGCATAAAAAGAAAAGGATCTACACAATGATCAGTGCTAACTTAAACCATTAGGTAAAAAGTTGTTAAGGGACTTAACAATGGATAAGTCAGGGTGACAGACCTGAACCTCAATCAGTCCTAACACCACAGTGATTTAACCAGACACTATGTCTCCTGTGATATTATGCAAAATAATGTACAGCAATCCATAAAGCATACTTTCAAAAAAATGTAAACCTAAATTCTGATCAAGTCCCGGGATTTAACTACCAGCACATAAGAAATACAGGAGATAGCGGAACATAATAAATGACACCACAAAGATGCAATCAGCAAATCCAAAATGTGAAAAATTCTATAAGACAAATAATTTATTCATCAAATAAACTATAAGAGGGGAAGGGGAAGGACACAGAACTATAGATTAAGAGATCTAAGAAACATAACAATTAAATCAGCATGTGAACTTTGTTTAGATCTTGACTCAACTAAATCAACTGCATGAAAAAGCAAAACCCTTTATGAGACAAAAGAAAAATGTGATTGATTTAGATATCAATTATAGATATTAAAGAATTTATAATCCTTTATAGATATAATAAAAACATTATAGGTACAGTAAAACAAAAAATATTTTCCTATTATTTATATACATAAGCACACATTTATTCACAGATAATGTGATGTGTAGGAATTACCTCCAAAATAACCTCAGGTTAAGGTGCAGGAAGTACCAGTATAGATGAAATAAAATGGGTCTTGTATTATTGCTGAAACTTGGTGATGGGGGCATAAAGTTCATTATTCCACTTGATTTTTATACATTTTTAAATGTTTATTTTCAAGCTTAATTTACAAAAAAATCAAGAATTGCCCTTTGTAGACTATTAACCTCTAAGCCATTTTTATTTAACATACTATTTGAGCACACCTATATATATGGCACTATTCCAGGTCCTAGAGACATAAATAAAGAAAAAAACAAGGATTTTTTTTTTTTAAAACTCTGCCAATAGAGCAAGTGACAAATGAAACTGGATTGTTATATAATCCTGAGGATTCCCAATACAGAGGAAATAGTAACTAAAGGCACATAATTCCAGATATTTATGAATAGCAGTTGACAAACACAAACAATAAGCAAATGTTTTGGTTGTTTTTTTTGTTTTTGTTTTTGTTTTTGGTGGGGGAGAGGTATAGCGAAGGAAGTTGATATTATTCTCTCATTCTTTTCCTTTTTTGATCCACAATTTTCCAATATTAGTTTTCCAATATTAAATCAAAGTAAAAAAGATTATCAATTTGGTTCCTCCTTCCTATATAAACACTCATTTATATTGTTTGGCAAGTTTTGGTCTCCTTTTATCAGGAGAGTTTAAAGTCAAAATTATGAGAAACATATCCAGCCACTCCCCTCTTTTATTTTCTACTTTGAGGCTTCATAAGACAAAAGAGGAAATGGTAAGATACAAAGTAATACCTACAAAGGTAAAATGCAAAATTGGGAAACAGTTGTACCAAATGTTAAGAGCACAAAATAAGCAACCACAAGATAATTAATTTTACAATCATAAGTTAATAACAACAATAATTTCAAATTGATATATTATGATGACATTGGTATACTGTAATAACCAATAAATGATGTTAATTTCCTATAAATTAGAAACTATATGACAAAGAACTATAAAGATTTTCTTAAACTTAGTTTGAAATCTCGTATTATAAAAAAATCATAAATATCAAATCAATACCTACTTAAATACACATACAACTATAAGCAATGGTTTAAACAGCTCAAAATAAAATATGGGCACATCAATATATTTATAATTGCCCTTCATCATTTTCTAAATTTATATTTGTAAATGATTTTTGAACCTGTTAAAATACTGAAACTCTCTTGACTACTATTTTAATGTAAGTGAGCATGGGAGAGGTAGTAACACTGGAAAAAAACACACATTAAAGAGATATTATGTAAAGAGAAAAGGTAAAAAAATTAAAGAATATTACTTGTAGAATGATCCATTCACTTCATGATAAAAGGAAATGATCACTTCCTAGGTCACAACAGAGGAGCAGTAAAGTAACACAAGATGGAAAGAGTAAAATACTGTTTTATGTTTAAAAGAACATGAAGAAAGAAACTGAACAACACAGTACAATTGTCAACCACTTTAAAAGCTCACCTGGGGAGACAGCATTAAATATACAGATCTTGTTAGGAATCAATAATGTCAGGTGTTATTCAATATATCTTTTCTGATTTCGATGACATATTTTGGTGTGGGGGATATCTCTGAAAACATCCAATTCTAAATTCTCTAATAATCTACTTCAACCCTACACTATTATATACTGACTGTAGGGAAGCAGCCAACAGAAAGTGAGCAGAGGTGAGTAAACCCAGTATTGGGCAACGTAGCTTGGGTGTCATATCGCTACTGCTTTGTCAACTCTTAAGGCAGCAGTTGCAATCTACCTCTATCTCAGGAAGCAAATTTGTTTTAAAAGAAAGAATATCATATACTATATTCTTAGAAAACTGACCAGCTGGAAGAGTATCCAAGAAAAAAGCACAGGAAAAGAGAGACTTATTAGGCATAAAAAAAAAATGGAGTTTAAATATTCAAAGCCAGTTTCTTATGGAAAAAACAAAAAACAAACAAACAAAAAAAAAAAAAAAAACCCTGAGGGCCAAACATGAGAAGGCACATAGTCCTAGTTTACATAAGATCTAGAATTTGGGGGCCTCCCTCAGTGGCACAGCGATTGAGCGCTGGGCTGCGAAGCTGCCTGCAGCATCACACTGGTTTGATCTCTGGCCGCCAGCGAGGGTCCCACATGGTGCGCAGACCTCTCCTGCCGTGCCCGCTGCTCCCCTCAGCAGTGTATTTTGGTCCATCTGCCTGTTCTATTCCCCGCTCTGGCTCTGGTGAATTCTCTCACCTCCCCCCCCCCCAACGCTTCTAACTGTACCCAGTGCTTGTATAAATAAATATTTAAAAAAAAAAAAAAGATCTAGAATTTGGGGCCACCCTGGTGGTACGGGAGTTAAGTCTCAGCGCTATTACCTGTCACCACTGTGTCCTGAGTTTGATCCCTCACCAGGGAACTGACCCACATATGGCACAGCAAACCTCTCCTGTCTTGCCCGCTTCTCCCCTTAGCAGTGTATTTCGGTAGATCTGCCTGTTCTGCTTCCCACTCTGGTGAATTCCCTCACCCCTCACACCTCTAGACTACACCCCAATTCTTATATGCATAAATAAAAATAAATCTTAGAAAAAAAACCCTAGAATTCTGTCCTTTTGGTCTCTAACTTTGCATTCTTTTCATTACACATCACTATCTTCTCTTTCAATGATGTCTCAGTAGACTATCATTAAAACAATTTGTATTTAATAAAGACACTAGGCAAACAGGTCAGATGTGTACGTGACGTACAGTTTGTCTAATGACCACATTAGAACAGTGGTAGAGTCACTACTCCACTTACCCAAGATCACACATGTCTTTCAGCCAGAGTAAGATGTAAAAGAACCCACATCTTTTCACTCCCAACCCTACCTGCTTTGCCTTCATAGAACGACAAAATTTTAACTAAAGTCCAAATCCTGAGGTAAAAAAATGTTTTCTTCACAGACACCAAAGCCAAATTCAGTTCTGTTTCCAACAGATATTGTACATAGGAACCCCATACTCGTCTTTTACTATTGGGCCCATAGTGGGTCCTCTGTAGTTCCAAACTTTTATAGGGTTGCCTATCTTTTTCAACTGCTAAGTACTCTAAAAAAAGATCCTGTGTCCCCTAAACCTCATCATATCCAATTCATGTAAGAAAAATGCGTGTTAGAGATAAGCACATCAAACATCCATTAAGCCTACTGTGTAGTTTTAGAATTTTTCTAATTTAATAAAGTACCATTACTTTATATTCGTTAATATTTTACAGTATAGAAAATTTTTCTATATAACTTTTTAGTACTTAAAATTTAATGTATATTCTAATTTCACTCTGTAATCTAATCTCACTCTGTAATCTCATCAAATCTTAAAGACTTTGAGAGTGAATTTTTTCATATGAATGCTTTAAGTATAAATACAATGCCACGTCATATAAAAAATATATGCTCTAAAATTAAGTGAAATTTTGTTTGTTTTTCCTGTATTCTTGCTAGGACATTCTATTTCAACTATATCCAGTCCTTAAAATAACTTGGAAAAAATCCAATATAAACGAATCTAATCAAAACAAACTCAAAGGGTCATATTAGCAAAGAAGCACACCTAATGTGTATCGTTTACTCCAAGATCTATTGTAGGATAGTATTTTAAAAAGGTACCTATAAGAAAAAAGGATCATAATATAAATGTGGTATATTTTACAATATGAAATAAATTCTTGAATTTAAAAAAAAAAGCTAAAAACAATTAAATGACAACCAATTATTTCAAACAGCAAAACTATAATATTCGTTTCCATCAAAAATTGTGCTGTAGAAGTCATAAATAAATGGGGATAGCAGCTACCTGGAAAATGTTCTGAGAAACTTACCATCATTTTGGCTCTTGCCTTTCATCTCCTCCTTCCACGATAGGATGGTGTTCAGAGGAACATAGTCCCTTATGTATTCTTTGCGTCTCTCCTCTAAGGTCATCTTCAGTAAACGTTCTTGCAAAATAAAAGCAGAATCCCAATTTGTATTTAACTTTTAAGTTCAGGAATTGTTTTATAATTTAAATAGTAATCATCTTAAATTAACTAAAGAATTGGTGTGGGCTTGGGAACACCAAAATTCAAATCTAATAACTACATATTTGAATATTAAAAAGTGTCAAATTAACTCCACATTAGCAGGGTAAAAAGAAGGAATACCCTGATAGTATGAGAAAGAAACTCTTTTAATCAATATCTACTGACAGGCTACCATGTGCCTGGTGATATGTTTATACACTGCAAGTACAAGGTGATCCTTGACTTTGAGGCTTCATAAGACAAAAGAGGAAATGGTAAGATACAAAGTAATACCTACAAAGGTAAAATGCAAAATTGGGAAACAGTTGTACCAAATGTTAAGAGCACAAAATAAGCAACCACAAGATAATTAATTTTACAATGCCATCAACTATAAAAGCACACATTCATTTTATTACCTTATGTAGGTGATATAAACAATACTTTAAAAACACATCCTAATTAGGGAAATTTAAAATACATTGATTTTGGTGTATTTTTCCTTTTTTAATTTTATATCTATTTTACATCATTCTTCCTTTTTATACATGCTTTCTCCTCAAAGGTGTAGTCCCCGCAAAATTCCCATCACCAAATAAAATATATTTTTAATGAATCATAGAATTAATAAAAGTTGCTGTCATTTATAAAGACCTCACTGTGTGCCAGTGCCAGTTATTCTTATTGAAATAATTTTCCCAACAACTCAGCATAATTGCTAGTTTCCCTATTTTGCAGAGTAAATAAAGCACATCAAAGTTCAGTGAGAGAGCTTTCCATTAAAATCCATTCAGGTAGGCCCATACTATACTGATGTCTCTGGAAAAGCTACCCAAAACAGATGATGTGCATGCAGACTTATGAAGGACAGATAAAATTTTGCATGAAGTGGTAAGAAGTAAGGATAATTCAGGCTAGTAGAACAACTTAAACAAAGATAAGAAGACAAGAAGCTATATGCTTTGAGGAGGGAAGTAGCCACAAAAGTGAAAAGTAGCTAGAAACTTAAGTTAAAATGAAAATGTATAGAAAGGTGTATACTACATATCTGTATCATAGAAAAGGGGCCATGTATATTCAAAATTGATTCTATATATTCCAGAAGGTACATAAACAATCCAGTAGAATACAGACGGATAATGTAAGAAATTCTGTTTCTTTTTTATCTAAATTTATTTTAATCCAAAGAAATAAATAAGATTTATTAATACTCAATTTACAAACTAACAGTGACATCCTCATTCACTCTATATTTCAGCTGTTAGGTATCCTACATAATACCAAAGTCTCCACAATGTAGAGACATTGATGGCTGTACTCTTACCCTTCAAATTTTTCATCATTTTATAAGGTAATTTGGTTTCAGTTAATAGATTTAAGGGTAGTATCTAGTTTTGGAAAACCTAAACTTCACAAAATCATCACTTTAAAAGGTTTTACACGCAAAAAAAAGTGCAGATGTATTAATGTAAGCACAACTGAACAAGAAATGGGAAGCCAACATTTTTCTCTGCTCCTAAAGCTGGCTTTTCTTAAGCCACATTAGGAAAAAAAATAATTAATCATCTCTGAGGTATTCAAATCACAGTAATATAGTACTTGAGGGTCAATGCTGCATTAAATTTAAGATGCCTACATGATATTCAAGCTGAAATGAAGACTCAGAGACTCAGAATAAAGATCTAGTCTAGAGATTTCTGAAATTACAATATAAACTCCTAGTCCTATAGAAAGTTCACAGAAGAGGGCAGAGGACCAAAGCTCAAAAAAAAAAAAAAATTAAAAGGGAACACAAAATGAGGAAAAATGAAATAAAAAGTAAATACGGCCCTCCCCTGGTGGTGCAGCAGTTGAGCGCTGGGCTGTGAAGCTGCCAGCAGCCTCTGCAGCACAGGTTCTATCCCCAGCCACCGCCGAGGGTCCCACATGGCACGCAGACCTCTCTTGCCACCCCGCTGCTCCCCTCAGCAATGTGTTTCATCGGTCTGCCTGTTCTGTTCCCTGCTCTGGCTCTGGTGAGTTCTCTCACCCTCCCCGCGCTTCTGACTGTACCCAGTGCTTTATAAACAAATACATAAATCTTAAAAAAAAAAAAAAAAAAAAAAAAAGAATGAAAAAGTAAATACCATTGGGAGGTCACGGTAAATCAAGATCCCAGTAATATGGAAACCAGCAAAGAAAAGAGTTGTAAGCAGAAGAGAAAAAAATCTTGTCCGGAAGATCACAAAGGGATGGATCACCAACAGAAACGAAACGAGAACAAAGTGATTAACAGAACTGCCTGGGTTCTAATTCCAAATCATGCAAATCTATGTGGTTTTAGACTACATAGATTTATATTCAACTTCTTTTTGAGGTAAGTTAGTAGTTATTCTCCCCACTTTCCAGATGAGGCTACTAAGACAGGGAGGTTGAATGATTTGAGGTTCCATGCTAATAAGCAGTACAAATAAAATGCAAACCCAGGAAAAGGGGGTTCAAAGATGTTAACATCATAAATTACCTCATAAGGTAGTTCTGAGAATTAAATGAGAGAACCCACATGAGGTATTAGAATAGTGCCAAGCACACAAAATGAACTCAAATAGTAACTATTTACACATTAGTATCATCACCATTGTTATTTAAAACTTTAGGATATAGTTTCTGTAAAGTACAACCAAGATCCAGACCTTGAGGGACTAAGGGAGGAATGGGGGGGGGGAGGTAAAAAACAACTCCAAGAGAAAGCCTGTGGAAGGAAGGCTACTTTAGGGTGGAAAAGGCTTGAACATTGTTACAGGCTAAGGAGAAGAACAGGCTGAAGGCGCTAGCAAATCAAACATATCCAGAAAAGAATAATGACCTAAGATCTCAAAGACTCTAGCAAAGGAGATGAAGAGCAGCAGCAGAGGGGTTAAACTTAAACTTAGGGGTTAATCTTAGCAGAGGGGTTAAATCAAAGATAAAGGACAAAAAAATATAAAACAGACAAATAAGACCAGAGAGGCAGACACTAGGGTTACTCATGCTATATAACATGTATTTGCTCCATGAATTACAATGGTAATGTCACCTGTTCAGTATAGGAGGATGGGATCTTGTAGGGACAGAAGCCTGAAGGAAAGAGTAAATCTGGAATAATCACCCAGAGGAAGAAAAGGGACTAGCTACTACCAAAGCACTACTTTAAAAAAAGCTCAGAGCACCAACATAGACAAATTACAGCATCACTAACCACGCTGAAAGATATTATGAAGAAGTAGCCTTCTGTTTTTGTAAATATCAGAAGGTGCACACAGGAATGTAACGTGGCCTCTGGCATTCCATTTATTTAAAAGTTTTTTGTGGATACTTAGTACAAAAACAAGATCTTTAGGACAATAAGATAAAACAATACGATAATTTACATTTCAGTACTTGAAATAATACACATTTAGTGGTTTTGAAGTAGAACTCACAATAGGTCATTAAGTTTAAAGTAAGTGGACTTGAGAACTCCAAAGTCGTATGTTCTTTTGCATTTATTATGCAATTAATAGTTGCAAAAATACAATACCATCCTCTCCAATGCAATGAAAGTAAAAAGGTCAACATCCTATCTGCTTCTTTATCCCCCCTCCCCCCACCATCAGCTTGTTTAATACTAACTACTGTGCTGGAAATCCTTAGCTCTTTCTTAATGGCATATTTTTAAATATCCCAAAAATAGACACCCAGATAAAACAATGAAACATACATTAAAGTATTCAAGCCACAGTAACTTTTCTCTTTAATATTAAACTAGTTGTGGACAAAAGACAGTTACTTTGTTATATGTCTTCTTTAAATGTGCATTGCTTCTTTACTTAGAAAATACTAATTTGGTTATATTTTTCCCTTTAGACACAAAAGAAAAAAAAATCAAGCCGTTAATGTCTGAAATACCTGCTTGTCTGTCACAGCCTGACTGTAAATGTTAAAGGAAGGATCCATTATAACACTGTTACTTTAGCAACATTATCTATTATGGCAGAAGAGTGGTTAGGTAATCGCTATAATTCCAACCATGATTTACCTATTGAAAACTTATCTTCATGTCTTCCGCTATTTTGTCTTCATTATTATCAGTAACACTAAACATTTCAAGGCCCTCAACAAAAATGGCATAAACGGTATTTCAAAGCTTACAAAGCAAATCTTTGTTCAAAGTGTGTTGGAAGGAAAGAAACTACTACTGCAAAAACAAAATTATTTTACACTACTTTATACAGATTATTATTCTCAACAGCATTTGTTTTATGACACCCCAAGTTTTATTTTCTTATATGCTAAGTCTTTAAAACATAACAATGACATGCAACCTAATCTTGCACTGTTTAAAGCCCATTTTAATTGGGTTATGTTTTTAAATTTTCCCAGTAAATTTGTAAAAAAAAAAAAAAAATCCATCCTCATACACTGTTTGAAATAGGCCCTTTATAAGGGATTCTTTTTCCACATTTATTCACTTTCCTCAATCCAATGTTTGGACTTCGTGTTTATAAAATCCAGGACTCACAATAAAAATCTACCGATTTTAAAGAGCTATTATCAGGGAAATGAAAATCTACAAATTTTAAAGAGCTATTATCAAGAAAATGAAAATCTACAAATTTTAAAGAGCTATTTATCAAGGAAATCAACTTTCAACCCAGTCACCCATCTATCCTCCTTGCATAAAAATGATGGGACACTTAAAGATGCCCACTACCCTCCCTCACTCTACCTCACCCTTTATACACAGGCTTAGTGCCTCTCAGCAGCTGCAACACGAGTACTTTCTGCTACATCTCTGCACAGAAGTTTCAAAAGATGCGAACGCAAGAAATACTACAGAGACTCGAGTTTTACATTAGAATATTATCTAATAAGGATGAGAGAGCGCGCGCGAAACAGGGGTGGAGCGCACACTTTTGTGTCAGTGCCACCTCGATTCCAGCTGCTTTGAATTAGCCTAGAGATGCACAAAACTCAGGGGTGGGTTCATTCACAGAGTGACATCAATCTCACGACCTACTCCGAGCAACTTCAGACGATGAATGAGGACGCAACAGAGAGAAACACCCTGCAGAGAGACACCCATTCAGACTTCTCTGGAGGCACGAAACCTCCCGGACAAGAAGCTCGCTTTAGGCTTCCCGGAGAGTTCCAGGTTTCAGCACACACACTGCGTCTCAGGAGGGGCCCTGGAGAGGTGGTGACCACCCGAAGGTGGAGGCCACCTGCCAGCTGCGGGGCGCGCGGGGAGTGCCCGAGTGAGGGTCAGCGACGCGCGGAGGCAGCGCTGCAGCTGCAGCCCAGGTGCCAGGCGGCGGCACGTGCGCGGGGACACCCCGGCCAGGCGGGCGAAAGTGCCGGCTGAGGCGCGGGGAGCGCGTGGGAGACCCGAGCAAGTTGTGCGGCGCCCGGGAGCGGCCGCGCCGGGGTCCGAAGGCGCGAGGGAGGCGGCCCGGCGAGGCGCCGGCGGAGGGGCGTGCGCCCACACGTGCGCGAGCGGCAGGTGCCGGGGGCGGCGCGTGCACGCGGGTGCGCGGGCGTGTGCGCGTGTGTACACACGGCCACGCGAGGGAGGCGGCACCGGCCGGCCGGGCGGGCGCGAGGCGGGAGCTCGGGCGGAGGGCGCCGCGGCACACACGGCCTGACCCCCGCCCCCACCCCACCCCCTCCCCGTCCCCCCAGGACTCGACGGGCCGGTTACCTTTCTCCTCTCTCCACACCTTTTTCTTCTTGTTGCTGGGGTACATGTTGCCGTGGGGGTGGCTGGCTTTAAGCTGCAAGTTCCCCAGGCTCACGGGCAAACAGGGTGTGTGTGGAGTGGGAGGGTGGGAGGGGGCACTCGGGAGGGAAAAAGTGAGAGAGGCTCCGCGTCCCGCGCCGCTCGCTGCTCTCCAGTCGCCGCCCTCCTCCCTCAGCCCGCGCTCGGCTTCGGCTCCCACCCGCCTCAGCCCCGCAGCGGCCGCCACAGCAGCACCTCAGAGCCTGTCAACTAGGTCACGCCTCGCGCTAACCTAACACCCGCGCAGGCCCCGCCTCCCAGCCGAAAGCCAGCGCCGGCTCCCATTGGCTGCACCGCCCGCCGCTCTCCGCTTTCCAGTCACCGGGCTCCGGGACTTGGACGCCAGGGCGCAGGCGCAGGCGCAGGCTCGGGCCCGACGCCGAGGACGTTGGGGATCGGGAGGGGGAGGAGCCAGAAGGCGAAGGGGCAGGGGATAACCTCGCGGCGGGGGCGGGGCACGGAGGAGACGCCTGGGAGGAGAGGGAGGTGACTGGTGCTCCTCGTAATATCGCCCTCTAGGGGGCTGTGAGGGCGTGGCCTGTAGGGCCAGGTGTGGTGAGAGACCTGGGAGCTGGGGTCCGGAGACCGCCTCAGGGAGTACAAGGTGTGGAAGTCCGAGGATGAAATAGGAATTTTCCTTATTCACTCTGTGAATTTTTTTACCAGATAATCTGAAGCTTTATTCTTGGTAAGCAAAGGCAACCTAAAGAAGCGGCAGGATTGGGGAGTGGTTCCAGACGGTGTACAGACTGGTCCTGGCCCGTAGGGTAAAAATTACACATTTCCCTAGAATTCGGTGAAATTTGGAAAGAACAAAGATAACAAAGAACTGGACTACTCAAGTGTTTTAAAGAGCTGGGAAATAGTTGGGCACCAATATGTTAGACTGGAAACAAAAGTCTTGCATGAAAAGCAAGTTGAACATGAGTGTTAACAGCACCAAGTCATCTTATCTATCATTTTATTCCTCCCCCACTTGTTTTCAATGAAGGCGCTAGTCCGAAGAACTGTTTGATTCTGGGTAATACAAATTTGTCGGTGTTCCAGTTGCACCATAAGACTAGGATGACCTAGGGTTCAGAGGAAATTTGGTTATCTCCTCCACAAATTTATTGCGTTTCTAAATATCAGACGATTTACAAGGCTGATTTGATGGGTGCAGTAAATCCATATTTGACACTTGGAATGCTATGTTATATGTTTTGTACTTAAGCCAGGTAAAAACAAGTAATTATTTGGAACACATTTTTTAAATAATAAAAACAAAATGGAAGAAAGGGAGGACCTATTGAAAACTGTAAAGCATGAAATGTTTTGAAAGACAGACCTTGAAAGTGGAGTATAGATATGAGGCATCCAGGAGGGGAGAGGGAGGAAGAGGTGACAACTGGGCAGTGAAGGGCACAAAGGAATATGGTGATGGAAGTGGGTGCTTTGGTGGTGGGAGAACTATAGTAAGGGGAGAAATCATATATTGTCCAAAAATTAAATTTAAAGAAATGAAATGTTTTGAGTAATAGGATGCTTTCATTGTCTCTGTTGTTCATTTAATGCATGAAATATATAAATGTTTATGTGACTGAGAAAAGTAAGGAAGACTTCAAGAAGGAAGTAACATTTGAACTAGTAATTAAATCCCATTTATTGATACTGGAAATAAAATGAAGACTCATTCAAGACACTTTACCAAGAAAGATTTTTTAAAAAATGGTTACAGAAAAGTTTTTGGGGAGAGGATGAGGAAGATAGAGAAGATAAGGGTTTCATGGGATAGTTAGGGAGAATAGCAATATTATTAATAACATTAGGCAATACAAGAACACTTGCACTTTTTTTTAAGATTTATTTTTATTTTATTTATACAAGAACCAGAGTGCAGGCCAGATGTGCAGGAGGGTGAGAGGATTCACTAGAGACACAGCAGGGAACAGAACAGGCAGAATGACGGAAATACACTGTGGAGGGGAGGCGCGGGCAAGACAGGAGAGGTCTGCTGCACCATGTGGGTTGCTCCGCGCCTGGCGGAGATCGAACCGGCACTGCAGAGGCTGAGGACAGCTTCATGACGCTGCACTTAACCACCTGCGCCACCAGGGAGGCCCAACATTTGCAGATTTTGTGGAAGATATTGAGTTCTTATTTTAAAATTCTAAATATAAGGTGTCTCACCTTGCCTTCTGTTACAACAGGGAAATTGTTTCCGCTGCAACCTAGTACTAACCCTATGCTTTCTTAGGAACATTATACTACTTATTCTTTCTCTTGTACCAACTCAGAGAAGTTGATCTATCATCTTTCAGACTTCCTCAAGTCTCGCCCTTGCTATAAAAGAAAAATTTTTAAAAAATGAAACCAAAAAGCCCCTTCTTTTTCACAACCTCTTCCCCCGCTACTTCTTTTTAAAAGGTAGTTAATACCTGCTGTATCAATTTCCTTACATCCCACTTCTGCCCTTTTCTCTCCTCTAGTTGGGTTCTAGCCTATCAGTCAACTGAAATAGTTCTTGCTAAGGTGATCAATGACCTTTGTGTGCAATTTCATGGACATGCACCAGTCTTTCTCTTAGAAGATCTCTCAGAAGAATTTAACACTGTTAACTTTTCATTTCTCCTTGCAGGATTCATTTCCATTTCCTAACCATTTTGAATTTCTTCCTGTCTGGGTGATCCTTTTCAGTCTTCCTTTTCAGCCATTACATCTTAGAGTTTTTTTATGACTCAGAACTAGGCCCTTGTCTCTTTATAGTTTTTCTTGGAATGATTTAAGTCTGTACTTATGGTTTCGATTCTGACACTGATTATCAGCCAAGGACAGTTGTGTACCCCAGAGAACACTGGCATTACTGGTTGTCACAACAGGGCAAAATATTACTGGTATCTAGTGCCAAGGATACTACTAAGCATCCTACAAAACACAGGACAACCACCAAAATAAAGAATTATCTGGCCCAAAATGTCAATATTGCTGAAGATGGGAAACCCATCTTCACTCCAATGGTTCCCAATTTTCTTATGTAAAGAAAAATTTTCTTCTTGAGCTTTAAACCTATATATGATACCTTATACTGGATCTCAACTTTAAGATGTGGTTTTATGTACTGGTTAAAAACCATCTAAAGCCAAATCACCTGGACTCAGATCCAAAGTTTACCATTGCTAACTAATGAACATTGGCAAGTTATTCAAATTCTCTGTGTCTTGTTTGTTTTTTAATCCATTATTGTATAGATGAGGATAATGTAGTATTTGTAAGATTGATGTTAGGACTAAATGAGTTAAAATATATAATGGACTTCAAATAGTTACTAGCATATAGTGGGTATGATAGAGATGCTCACTAATACAATTTCTTCTCTCATGGTCTCTCATGGAAATACAAGAAGACTATTTCGCGGCTTTCCTTTGAAGTTAGTTAGGACATGTGACTACATCCTGAGAGGATTAGAGGACAAAAGTGATTTATGTTTCTTCCAGGCCTGATCCTCAACCCCCCTGTGCATCCATCCATATTCTCTTTCCTTTTTACAGTAATCTCTGAAGTGGCACCTCAAGAAAGAAGGAGCGGGCCTCCCCGGTGGCGCAGTGGTTGAGCGCTGGGTTGCGAAGCTGCCCTCAGCCTCTGCAGCGCCGGTTTGATCCCTGGCTGCTCCCCGTCCACTGGAGGAGGGTCCACATGGCGCGCAGACCTCTCCTGCCGCCCGCTGCTCCCCTCAGCAGTATACTTTGGTCCTTCTGCTTGCTCTGCTCCCTGCTCTGGCTCTGGTGAATTCTCTCACCCTCCCACACTTCTGACTGTACCCAGTGCTTGTATAAATAAATAAATAAATAAATAAATAAATAAATCTTTAAAAAAAAAGAAAAGAAGAAGGAGCTTAAATTTCTGAGTCTCTGCTTGAGAGAGTATATCAGGTATCCAAGGAGTATCACATCAAGCTATGCATAGCTTTGGCACTTAAAGGGTATTTGTCTAGCATTTAGTATTAATTATTCTGATAATACCATTATAATTCAGAACTGATAATGTGTCAAAACTACCTGAAATGTACCATAAACTATACTGAGCTGATAATCTTCCCCCTGTACTTAGACTTTCTCCCAGTGTTCTCTATTTTGATGACTCCATTACCATTCAGTTGCATAATCTAGGAACCTAAGCCACCAAACCTGCTACCTCTTATAACTTCACTCATTTTAAATTAATTGCTATATCTCCTCAATTTTTGTCTCCTATATAAACTTGAATTTCTCACCTTCCAAATAGCACTGTAGTATGCTCAGTCCAAATTTCACTGTCTCCCGTATCTACTTTTGTCCCTCATCTGTCCATTCTCTACCCGGTATCTAGAGTTATATTGTCAAATATTATAGTGTCATCCCACCCATTGTAAAACATTCAATAGCGGTCTTTGCTATAGACTGAACTGTATTCTCCAAAATCATATGTTGAAGCCCTAGCCCCCAGTTTGATTATATCTGGATATAGGATTGTAGGGTAAGGTAAAAGTATTAGGCTTTTCTGCCCTCCTGCCATTAGGATAGATGAGGGAACCCTGTGGTCCTGAATGCATGCCTGATGGCGGCACCTGAAGTGGATACACCTCAGCTGACAGACTGAGTTTATAAGGGCGGCATCGCGGGGACGCCAGCAGAAGCCAAGAATGAACGGAAGGTGATGTGTCTGTAAAGATGTCTTTGATGTGCATATCACGTAGTGTTTCGCCTATATCTCCTTCTATGTATTTTATGGTTTCAGGTCTTATGTCTAGTTCTTTAATCCATTTTGAGTTGATTTTTGTGTATGGTGTGAGGTTTCTGGACCTACTAAACATAGAGCTTCCATATGATCCAGCAATTCCACTCCTAGGTATTTACCCAAAGGACACAGAAACATCAGTTCCAAAGAGCACCTGCACCCCTATGTTTATAGCAGCACTGTTTACAATAGCTAAGCTTTGCAAACAGCCCAAATGCCCAAAAATAGATGACTGGATCAAGAAGATGTGGTACATATACACCATGGAATATTACTCAGCATTCAAAAAAGATACACACATGCAATTTGCAGCAACATGGATGGCGCTGGAAGGGATCATGCTCAGCGAAATAAGCCAGAAAGAAAAAGAAAAATACTGGATGGTCTCACTCATAGCAGGAATCTAGAAAACTTAAATAAGGGACCAGGAAAATGAGTAACTGTAAGAAAGTGAAAATCAAAATCAACAAAAAACTATGAACCAGAGACACTCTATGGGGGGTGGGGGCCGGGGAGGGGAGGGATTGGGGTCAGAATGGGGGGGTTGCAATTGTATGGGGAATATAAAAATAAAATTTATTTAAAAAATAAATAAAATAAAACTTGCTTAATTTAACTTAATGTAACTGTTAGATTTATTTGTATTATCTATTTATATTTTTGAATCAAAATGAAATAAGCCGACTACTAAAATCAGCAAATTATGGAAATGAAGATAATAAAGGATTGTATTTATTTGGGGGGAAAAAAAAAAAAAGAATGAACGGAAGCCGAGAGAAAAAGAGAGAAGCAGAGGAAACGCCAGAAAGCCCAGATAGAGTGAGGATTTGCTGGGGGCTTGGAGAACTGCCAGCCTCCGGGCCCCCTAGCAACCCTGCCTGCCATGTGCCTGGTAAATCTAAATAAAAAGCCTGCAAAAGCCACTGAGAACTCTGACTCCTTCTTTACCTGGTCTGCTGGATCAGAAAACCCGCACTGTGTCCATTCCGGCCCCTACAAGGATCTTTAAGAGGTATTGAAGGTTAAATCAGTTAATAAGGGTGGGTCACTAATCTAGCAACGTGCAGCCTAATAAAAGAAAGAGATGTCTCTATTTCTACCTGTGTATATTTTTGCCTCTGTTTCTGTCCCTAACTCTGTCACTATTTTCCCAACTCCCAATGCCTCCGTGTGAAAAACATATCGAGAAAAGTGGTCTGTAAGCAAGGAAGTGAGCCTTCACTAGCCCATGCTGGCGCAAGAAAAAGAAGTTGTATTCAAGAATGTAGAAAATAATTGCAATTTCATTTTCAGTAAAACCAATGATATTTTTTCAAGATTTCTGTGGTCAGAAATGTCACATTTCTCACAGAGATCAGGTGGATATGAACAAAGAGAAGTTAATTGTATTTATAATCTATGCAAATTAGTGAAAATAAAAAAACAATTGAAAAGTAAGTGGGAGGTAACAAGTCAGAGGCAGTGATTGTGAGCAATTCTTTTGAGATGTTTAGAAGCTTAAGGATAAGTAAAGACAGTAGTTGGAAGAATACTGGAGTTGAGGGAAATCTTTTCTACAGAAAATTGAATGAAAGGCTTTAAATTCAGAAGGCTAGGGTCTACTCGGTGGCACAGCGGTTGAGTGCTGGGTTGCGAAGCTCCCCGCTGCCTCTGCAGCGCAAGTTCGATCCCCGGCTGCTCCCCGGCCACCGGAGGAGGGTCCCACATGGCGGCGCAGACCTCTCCTGCCGCCCGCTGCTCCCCTCAGCAGTGTACTTCGGTCCTTCTGCCTGCTCTGCCTCCCGCTCTGGCTCTGGTGAATTCTCTCACCCTCCCGCGCTTCTGACTACCCAGTGCATGTATAAACAAACAAATAAACAAATAAATAAAAAAATAAAAATACATGCCTCTTTTAAAAAAATAAATAAATTTAAAAAATAAATAAATTCAGAAGGCTAATGAGGGGCTCCCCAGTGGCTCAGCGGTTGAGCACTGGGTTGCGAAGCTGCTGGCAGCCTCTGCAGTGCCAATTCAATCCCCGGCCACGGGGTGAGGGCCCCACATGGCGCGCAGACCTTTCCTGCCTCCCGCTGCTCCCCTCAGCAGCATATTTCGTGGCCTGCCTGTTCTGTTCCCCACTCTGGCTCTGGTAAATTCTCTCACCCTCCCACACTTCTCACTGTACCCAGTGCTTGTATAAATAAATAAATAAATAAATAAATAAATAAATAAATAAATAAATAAATCAATCTCTTAAAAAAAAAAAAAAAAGACTAATGACAAAAAGACTGAAATAGGGGGAAGGGCAGAGAAATAGACTTCAGTACCAGAGAAAGAAGATTTAGAAGGAATCAAAAGACAGAGAACGGGGCTTGAATTTAGAATACAGGAAGAACATTTATTTCATCTTTTGGAATTAATATTTGAAGAATGAATAGATGTAGATTAAAGAATGTTAAACAAAATGAAAAAAGTCAAAGGGAGATAGGTCAAATAACCCCAATTTCAGTAATTAAGGCAGATGAGAGATTATCAGCTGAGAGATGCTAATAATTCCAGATTTTAAAGAGAACTGAAAAAAATATTTGGGGGGAATGTTTAATGAAAGATATTTAAGAGATTACATTACATTAGACATATTTTAAAAGTACAGAAGTTAGAAAAGTTCCATTTTGAAGTCCCTTGGTGAAAGGAAAAGACATCAGGGACTTTGGAAACTATGAATGTTATCTTATTTGGCAAAAGGGACTTTGATGATGTGGTTAAAAATCTTGAGATGGAAAGATTATCCTCTATTATTTTGGTGGGCCCTAAATGTAACCACAGTGTCTTTGTAAGAGGGGTGAGTGGGCAAGTAGACTACAGAGGTGAAGGCAAAGAGATGACTATGCAAAGATTGGAATGATGGGGTGACAAGTCTAGAAGTTAGGGGAGCCAATTAAAACTGGAAAATACCAAACAAGCAATTGATCCCCCCTTGGAGACTCCAGAAAGAACTACACCTGCCCTTTAATTTAGTCCTGTAATAATCATTTTGGACTTCTGACCTCCAGAACACATTTCTGTTGTTTTAACCCACTTAACTGGTGGTAATTTGTCACAGCAGTTATGGGAAACTTAGAATGGGAGTAAACCTGTAAATTTAAAGCAAAAATATGTCTATTTCTGAAGTAATGACCTGAATACACAGTGCAGAATTATTTTAGGCATAATTTCTCAACTAGCTTTATTCCTATTAAATATACTTAGTTTTTCCATGCTTTCACTTAAATATTCATTTTGATTTCTGATGCTAGCCTTGAGGGCTCTCACTGTGAAATAGCCATATTGTTTAAAATAGTAAAGAAGGCATTTTCAAGCACCTTTTCATTAAAGTATAATGCAACACCTTTTTTAAAAGTCATTGATGATTTGAATTTGTCTACTATGGCCCACTAAAACTCAAAGTTTCTTGGTTAAGATAGGATAAATATTTTTACCTGATAGGAGACCAAAGAAATTTTGGTCCATGTGTTTCTTGTCTACTATAGTCTTGAGAAGCTAGATTAAAGGGATAATATTAGATCAGATCAAGTATTGTATTCGAACTGGAAATAAACCTGGCAGAAAGGGGTTGACCCAGTGCATAGGTCCTTACCCACATGCTTAGGAATATAGGACATGTAGAGAAACAAAAAGGGCTTATTCTCACTGGAAATGAGAAAAAAGGGAAACTGGAGAAAGAAAAAAAAAGAAAGAGAACTTATTGGCTGGAACATGGCCAGGAGATACCTGTCCTACCCCAGAGAGTGGCCACTGAGCAGAAATCGGAATCCAGGCTCAAGCCAACAAGGCAAGATGGCAACTCTCTGCTGAGCAGAGTCCAAGGTCAAAGCAGAAGCTGTTCTTCAAAGACAACAGCTGCCCAAAACAACATGAGAGGGCAACCCCACGTAGAAGAGTGCAAACCACCAAGCAAAGACTAGAGCACAGGGATCACAGCCATATACACAGTAAGGAATAAGAGTGTCCAGTGAGCACTCTGTCTTTTTAAAGTACCTGTGGTGTTGGCTCTGCCACATCCTTAGTTTCCAGCAAACCTCCTCAGGACATCAGAGGATTCAGCCATTCACGCACTAGCTCAGTGTTGTTTTTTTCCCATTAACAAATTGTGGTTTCATATATGTACAACTTGCACCTTTGAAGGTAAAATAAAAAATAAGAACTTCCATTAGCTCTGGAAGATTATTTGACCATGAATGTGAACATGTACAAATTGGACTTTTGGTCCCTTCCTTTAATTTCAGAGAGCAGCTCTTACCTATTTGAAGCCACCCCTTGTCTCCCACAAGAATGGTAGCTGACTAGATATGGTTCTTTTCCACACCTTGTTTTCTCCAACAGCTGCTTTCATTCTAACTTGAAAGGAACTTCCTAGCAGCTCATTGGTCAGAGTAGGAAATGGTTACTTAGCAACAAAGTCTTGTCCCACACAGAACTGAAAAAAAGGAATCTTGTGGGCCAGCCATCTAGTTCTGCCTGTGTTACAGTGAAGAGGCACTACCTAGAAGATGAAGCCCTTGTGCCTCTTAACAGAGATACTGATAATTCTTGGGGTCACAATGAAAAGTAAGTTTTTCTCCACATGTGTTTCTCTATGAGGGTCTTTATTATTTTTTTATTTTTATTTTATATATTTTTTACATCATTTTTCATTTTTGTACAATGTATGCATTTTCATCTTGGTTATTGTCCCCATAAAACTCCCACCTCCCCTTGTTTTGATGCTACTCCTTTCTCCCCCTCTGTAGTATGTCTCTGGTTTATAGTTGCCTATTGATTTTGATTTTTACTTTATTATAATTAGTCTTTTTCCTGATCCCTTAGGTTTTCTAAATTCCTGCTATGAATGAGACCATCCGGTATTTTTCTTTTTCTTTCTGGCTTATTTGGCTGAGTATGATCCCTTCCAGCTCCATCCATGTTGCTGCAAATGGCATGAGTTTATCTTTTTTGACTGTTGAGTAGTAGTCCATTATGTATATGTACCACATCTTCTTGATCGAGTCATCTATTTTTGGGCATTTGGGTTGTTTCCATAGCTTACCTATTGTAAATAGTGCCACTATAAACGTAACGGTGCAGGTGCCCTTTTGAATTAATGTTTCTGTGTCCTTTGGGTAAATACCTAGGAGTGGAATTGCTAGATCATATGGAAGCTCCCTCTTTAGCAGATTGAGGAATCTCCACACAGCTCTCCATAGTGGATGGACCAGTTTGCACTCCTACCAGCAATGAAGGAGTGCACATCCTTGCCAACATTTGTTGTTGCTAGTTTTTTTGGTATGTGTCATTCTTACTGGTGTAAGGTGGTATCTCAATGTGGCTTTAATTTGCATTTCCCTGATGACAAGTGATGTTGAACATTTTTTCATATGCCTGTTGGCCATTTGCATTTTCTCTTTGGAGATGTTTCTTTTTAGCTCTTTGCCCGTTTTTTGACTGGGTTATTTACTTTGTTTTTGTTGAGTCTTGTCAGCTCTTTGTATATTTTTGTGATCAATCCTTTATCATTAGTGTTGTGGGCAAAATTTTTCTCCCAATCTGTGGGGTCTCTCTTGGTTTTGGTTACTGTCTCTTTTGCTGTTCAGAAGCTATGAGGGTCTTTTTAATAGCACTAATGGTAGAAACTGATTAGAAAATCAAAAGTAAACTCACTATATTCCCACTTAACACCAATTTATAGGTGCTGAAAAGTATGTAATAAAATAGATAGTGATGATACGCTCTCATTTAAGATGGTATTTGGGAAGGGCAAATACTTCTGTAGAATCTTTTAAGATTCTTACTAGTTTTTCCCATTCTTTAAACATTATGACCAAAATTCAGTTTTTGATTATTGTTCTTCATATTCTGCGACTCTGGTGCTCTCTCCTAATCCCTATAGTTTCATTTACATGTATATGTACAACCTCCATCTTCCTCTTAATCTCTAAGCCTGTAAGTCAGCTGTATGACACTCATGAACAAGACATGGACTGCACATGTCTTAAATTCAACATTGTATTCCTCACAGAATCGTTCCTGAGTCTTCTCTTGCTAATGGCATCAATATCCCTCCTTACTATCATACCTCTCAAGTGCAAAATCAGAAAATCATATGATCAAACAGTTATAATACCCTAAGTATCATTTAACTCAAAGTTTCTACAACTGATAGGACTCAGGCTTAGATTGATGAAATTGATTTACCAACATCATTCTGCAGTAGGTCTGGAACCAGAATCTCCTAATCCTTTACTAACATTCCTTCACCTAGTCCTATTGATTCCACAGTGGTTCTCCCATTTATGCATTTTCACTGTCTCATTTTATAGTTTTATTTCATTAACTTTTATATATACTACTATACTTCTAATTCTCCCCTTTTTAATCCAGATACACTATTGCCAGACATGATATTCTAAAGTCCCAGATCTGATCATGATTTTCTCCTTCTTGGCACCTATTTTTTTTTTTTTTATAGAATTAAGTTTCAACATCTTGTCCAGCAATCAAAATCCTATTTACTTAGATACCAATTTCCTATTTTGTTTATCCTAAACATACATATTATTTCAACCAATTCAAACTATTAGCTACTCATTATACCTAACTAATTCTCTCACTTCATGTCTTTCTCAATCTGTTTTGCAAATAAACAGTCCATAATGGTGGACTATCCAGGAACGGACTGCCATGCCATCTTCTTCCCCAACACTATCACAATCTATTGTGTAACATCCTGCTCCCTTTTTAAGGTCCATCTCAAGTTCTACTTCCTTAAGAAGAAAAAAAAAAAACTTTCCCAAATCCTTCCTTGTAACACACAGGTGTTTGTTTTCTTAAGGAACTCAATCTCACAGTGTTGTTTTCAACTTTCTACTAGGTTGACAACTGAATACAGAGATTGTGTTTTTCTTACCTTTTATGTTATCTATAATTCACTGCAGTATTTGGCACATTCTAGATGCTCAATTCGCACTTGTAAAGTAGAATGAGAACTATTATCTGTATTATATTTTAAGATTTACATAATACATTCCCAAAGCCTGTGGAGTAGATCATGTAGACATTTTAATTATTGTGAATTTAAAGAATTTCAAACCCTTCAGAATAGTGTTTAGTGACACCTGTATTCTCTAATGGAAGTCAGTTTGGATTGTTAGTTTACTTTTATTCCATACCATCAGTTTGTTATTCTGTTTATATTCCCTAAAGTGATCTGCTTTGGGTATTTGTCTCATAATCATATTTACTTGCCTGCAGCTGTTTCTACATACTACCAAACAGCTAGATAAAAAAGTTTTGAAATTAAATCAATCACCCAAATATTTTTTAATATAGTGTGCATAGGTTTGCTATGGAACAAACTGCTAGGTGATTGAATTACTTACTTTTCAGCCAGTTGCTTTGGCAGTATGATGATTACTAAACTCCAACAGTAGTATTTTATCATTCTTATTGATTTTTAATTGTATGGATATCTGCAATTTATTTGCTAGTAGCCTCTAATCTTATTTATATGCTATCAATAAATGAGATATGGTAGGGAAGAAAAACTTGTTTCTTAAGACTTCAAATCTTCCACACAGACTTGGAGCCAAGGTTACAGTGCTGATATTGAAGTGAATATACCCAAATTGGAAAAATGTAGTTTCCCTATAGAAGATATTTTTAAGCAAGTCATCAGCTGGAAAATAAGTATTGACACACTTGATTTAAAGGAAATTAATTAATTAATGCTTAAAAGATAAGAGATAGGAGTGAATTGAGAGGAAAGTTTTGCCCAAAAGTGTACAAAAAGAGAAGACAATTAAAAATACGTATTAAATTATACAATTAAAAAACCTCCCTGGTGGTGCAAGGGGTTAAGATGCAACCTATGAAGCTATCCACAGCCATTGCAGCATGAGTTCGATCTCCAGCCAGGGAGCAACCCACATGGTGCAGCAGACCTCTCCTGACTCACCCACTGCTCCCCTCAGCAGTGTATTTCCGTCGATCTGCGAGTTCTGTTCCCCACTCTGTCTCTGGTGAATCCTCTCACCCCTCACACCTCTGGCATGTACCCCAGTTCTTGTATGCATAAATAAATAAATATTTTTTAAAAATTTAAATAAATAAATAAATAAAATAAAAAATATGTAGAAGGAGCAGCCTGGGAAGTTCTGATCCCTGCTCCCCCCACCACCACTACTACCATGATGTGCAAAGGAAAAGACAGCCCTCCCATTTCTAGTAATGAAAAACAAGACTCTTTGGACTAATCCTCCCACTGAAAGCAAATGATGCATAAAATACACAAACCTCTTAATTTCTCAAAAGTTAAGAAGATAGTAAAGAATTACCAGGCTTAAAAAAATTCTACGGAATAGCTTAGAAGCAAGCAGGGGCACCTGAGTAGGACCAGGACTTGCAGCCCCCTGGTTCCAGCTCTGTACTTGAACATGCAAGCAGCTTTTCCCCCGAGCCAGACAAATTTGGGCTTAGTTTTACTGCCCACACATAAGAAGGAGGGCAAAAACCAATGTTCAACACCTGTCCAAGATGAGGAATCAACACTAACCTAGGACGATAAAGTGCTGATCTTTAAAAAAAAAAAAGCACTTTTTTAAAAAGATTTTTTTATTTGTACAAGAATCAGGGTACAGGCAAGATGCGTGGGAGGGTGAGAAGATTCACCAGAGACAGAGTGGGGAACAGAACAGGAAGACGGACAAAATACACTGCTGAGGGGAGCAGTGGGCAAGACAGGAGAGATCTGCCCCGCCATGTGGGATTCTCGCTGGCTGGCCGGGATTGAACCCATGCTGCAGAGGCTGCGGACAGCTTCACAGTGTGGCGCTCAACTACCTGCGCCACCAGGGAGGCCCAAAAGTGCTGACCTTATGGTAAGGGCAATGCAAAAGTTAACCTGCCTTTTCCCAAGTTCAGGAATCTTCAGAAATCTGACATTAGCAGAGCAAAGAGAAGAGGGAAAAGAAATAACACACCTCTAAGAAGTTATGGTCATATGCCAGTCCTCTTAGAGAGTTACTACATGGGGTTTATATTGCCCCAAGCCCCCAAGCCTTAAACTGTTGTAGTTCTAAAGACATAATATGGTCATAAAAAGGATCTAGAAAAAGAGAAAAACCAAAAGCCAGAAGATGGATGGAAGTAATAAAAATTAGAGCAGAAAATTAATGAAATAGAGATCAAAAAGTTAATCCAACAGATCATCAAAACCAAGAGCTGGTTATTTGAAAAGATTAACTATATAAACAAACCTTCAGCAAGACTCACAGAAAAATAAAACATAAAATCAGAAATTAAAGGGAAGTTATAATATATACTACACAAATACAAAAGATCATAAGAAAGTATTGTGGACAAATAATATGGTAACTGGCCAACCTAAACAAAACTGACAGATTCTTTTATAAAATTTATTCATTTTCTTGCGTTGTTCATTTTTGTACTGTAATTGGTTTCTCCCCTAGGGTATAGGCCCCTAAATTCTCCCACCACTTATCTCCCATGACCCACTGCCACAGTCCCTTGTGTTCATCCCTCCCCTGTTTTGACCCTTCTTTCTCCCCACTGGG